CTGAGAGCAAAGGTACAGGCACACAGGTACACACACGCTGCAGAAGGAGAACGACATGCTGAGAGCAAAGGTACAGGCACACAGGTACACACACACTGCAGAAGGAGAACAACATGCTGAGAGCAAAGGTACAGGCACACAGGTACACACACGCTGCAGAAGGAGAATGACATGCTGAGAGCAAAGGTACAGGCACACAGGTACACACACGCTGCAGAAGGAGAACGACATGCTGAGAGCAAAGGTACAGGCACACAGGTACACACACGCTGCAGAAGGAGAACGACATGCTGAGAGCAAAGGTACAGGCACACAGGTACACACACGCTGCAGGAGAACGACATGCTGAGAGCAAAGGTACAGGCACACAGGTACACACACGCTGCAGAAGGAGAATGACATGCTGAGAGCAAAGGTACAGGCACACAGGTACACACACAGGTACACACACGCTGCAGAAGGAGAACGACATGCTGAGAGCAAAGGTACAGGCACACAGGTACACACACACTGCAGAAGGAGAACAACATGCTGAGAGCAAAGGTACAGGCACACAGGTACACACACGCTGCAGAAGGAGAACGACATGCTGAGAGCAAAGGTACAGGCACACAGGTACACACACGCTGCAGAAGGAGAACGACATGCTGAGAGCAAAGGTACAGGCACACAGGTACACACACAGGTACACACACACTGCAGAAGGAGAACAACATGCTGAGAGCAAAGGTACAGGCACACAGGTACACACACGCTGCAGAAGGAGAACGACATGCTGAGAGCAAAGGTACAGGTACACACACAGGTACACACACGCTGCAGAAGGAGAACGACATGCTGAGAGCAAAGGTACAGGCACACAGGTACATACACAGGTACACACACGCTGCAGAAGGAAAACGACATGCTGAGAGCAAAGGTACAGGCACACAGGTACACACACGCTGCAGAAGGAGAACGACATGCTGAGAGCAAAGGTACAGGCACACAGGTACACACACACTGCAGAAGGAGAACAACATGCTGAGAGCAAAGGTACAGGCACACAGGTACACACACACTGCAGAAGGAGAACGACATGCTGAGAGCAAAGGTACAGGCACACAGGTACACACACAGGTACACACACGCTGCAGGAGAACGACATGCTGAGAGCAAAGGTACAGGCACACAGGTACACACACGCTGCAGAAGGAGAATGACATGCTGAGAGCAAAGGTACAGGCACACAGGTACACACACGCTGCAGGAGAACGACATGCTGAGAGCAAAGGTACAGGCACACAGGTACACACACAGGTACACACACTGCAGAAGGAGAACCTCATGCTGATAGCAAAGGTACAGGCACACCAGAGGTACACACACGCTGCAGAAGGAGAACGACATGCTGAGAGCAAAGTACACACACACTGCAGAAGGAGAACAACATGCTGAGAGCAAAGGTACAGGCACACAGGTACACACACGCTGCAGAAGGAGAACGACATGCTGAGAGCAAAGGTACAGGCACACAGGTACACACACGCTGCAGAAGGAGAACGACATGCTGAGAGCAAAGGTACAGGCACACAGGTACATACACGCTGCAGAAGGAGAACGACATGCTGAGAGCAAAGGTGCTGAGAGCAAAGGTACAGGCACACAGGTACACACACGCTGCAGAAGGAGAACGACATGCTGAGAGCAAAGGTACAGGTACAGGCACACAGGTACAGAAGAACGACATGCATGAGAGCAAAGGTACAGGCACACAGGTACACACACGCTGCAGAAGGAGAACGACATGCTGAGAGCAAAGGTACAGGCACACAGGTACACACACGCTGCAGAAGGAGAACGACATGCTGAGAGCAAACGGTACAGGCACACAGGTACACACACGCTGCAGAAGGAGAACGACATGCTGAGAGCAAAGGTACAGGCACACAGGTACACACACGCTGCAGAAGGAGAACGACATGCTGAGAGCAAAGGTACAGGCACACAGGTACACACACGCTGCAGAAGAGAACGACATGCTGAGAGCAAAGGTACAGGCACACAGGTACACACACGCTGCAGAAGGAGAACGACATGCTGAGAGCAAAGGTACAGGCACACAGGTACACACACGCTGCAGAAGGAGAACGACATGCTGAGAGCAAAGGTACAGGCACACAGGTACACACACGCTGCAGAAGGAGAACGACATGCTGAGAGCAAAGGTACAGGCACACAGGTACACGCACGCTGCAGAAGGAGAACGACATGCTGAGAGCAAAGGTACAGGCACACAGGTACACGCACGCTGCAGAAGGAGAACGACATGCTGAGAGCAAAGGTACAGGCACACAGGTACACACACGCTGCAGAAGGAGAACGACATGCTGAGAGCAAAGGTACAGGCACACAGGTACACACACGCTGCAGAAGGAGAACGACATGCTGAGAGCAAAGGTACAGGCACACAGGTACACACACGCTGCAGAAGGAGAACGACATGCTGAGAGCAAAGGTAGCACCAGGTACAGCACACAGGTACACACACGCTGCAGAAGGAGAACGACATGCTGAGAGCAAAGGTACAGGCACACAGGTACACACACGCTGCAGAAGGAGAATGACATGCTGAGAGCAAAGGTACAGGCACACAGGTACACACACGCTGCAGAAGGAGAACGACATGCTGAGAGCAAAGGTACAGGCACACAGGTACACACACGCTGCAGAAGGAGAACGACATGCTGAGAGCAAAGGTACAGGCACACAGGTACACACACGCTGCGAAGCAAAGGAGAACGACATGCTGAGAGCAAAGGTAACAGGCACACAGGTACACACACACTGCAGAAGGAGAATGACATGCTGAGAGCAAAGGTACAGGCACACAGGTACACACACGCTGCAGAAGGAGAACGACATGCTGAGAGCAAAGGTACAGGCACACAGGTACACACACACTGCAGAAGGAGAACAACATGCTGAGAGCAAAGGTACAGGCACACAGGTACACACACGCTGCAGAAGGAGAACGACATGCTGAGAGCAAAGGTACAGGCACACAGGTACACACACGCTGCAGAAGGAGAACGACATGCTGAGAGCAAAGGTACAGGCACACAGGTACACACACGCTGCAGGGAGAACGACATGCTGAGAGCAAAGGTACAGGCACACAGGTACACACACGCTGCAGAAGGAGAATGACATGCTGAGAGCAAAGGTACAGGCACACAGGTACACACACAGGTACACACACGCTGCAGAAGGAGAACGACATGCTGAGAGCAAAGGTACAGGCACACAGGTACACACACACTGCAGAAGGAGAACAACATGCTGAGAGCAAAGGTACAGGCACACAGGTACACACACGCTGCAGAAGGAGAACGACATGCTGAGAGCAAAGGTACAGGCACACAGGTACACACACGCTGCAGAAGGAGAACGACATGCTGAGAGCAAAGGTACAGGACACACAGGTACACACACACTGCAGAAGGAGAACAACATGCTGAGAGCAAAGGTACAGGCACACAGGTACACACACGCTGCAGAAGGAGAACGACATGCTGAGAGCAAAGGTACAGGTACACACAGGTACACACACACGCTGCAGAAGGAGAACGACATGCTGAGAGCAAAGGTACAGGCACACAGGTACATACACAGTACACACACGCTGCAGAAGGAAAACGACATGCTGAGAGCAAAGGTACAGGCACACAGGTACACACACACTGCAGAAGGAGAACAACATGCTGAGAGCAAAGGTACAGGCACACAGGTACACACACACTGCAGAAGGAGAAACGACATGCTGAGAGCAAAGGTACAGGCACACAGGTACACACACGCTGCAGAAGGAGAACGACATGCTGAGAGCAAAGGTACAGGCACACAGGTACACACACGCTGCAGAAGGAGAACGACATGCTGAGAGCAAAGGTACAGGCACACAGGTACACACACGCTGCAGAAGGAGAACGACATGCTGAGAGCAAAGGTACAGGCACACAGGTACACACACAGCTGCACAAGGAGAACGACATGCTGAGAGCAAAGGTACAGGCACACAGGTACACACACAGTTCTGCAGAAGGAGAACGACATGCTGAGAGCAAAGGTACAGGCACACAGGTACACACACTCTGCAGAAGGAGAACAACATGCTGAGAGCAAAGGTACAGGCACACAGGTACACACACGCTGCAGAAGGAGAACGACATGCTGAGAGCAAAGGTACAGGCACACAGGTACACACACGCTGCAGAAGGAGAACGACATGCTGAGAGCAAAGGTACAGGCACACAGGTACATACACAGGTACACACACACTGCAGAAGAACGACATGCACTCAGACAGGTCCTAGTCCAAGACAGGTCCTAGTCCAGGATCCACTCAGACAGGTCCTAGTCCAGGATCCACTCAGACAGGTCCTAGTCCAGGATCCACTCAGACAGGTCCTAGTCCAGGATCCACTCAGACAGGTCCTAGTCAAGGATCCACTCAGACAGGTCCTAGTCCAGGATCCACTCAGACAGGTCCTAGTCCACTCCTGCTTGTCCCTGAGATGCAAATGTAATCCAATGTGGTTTTTATACTGCACCTGTGTTGTGTGTGTGTGTTTGTGTGTGTGTGTCTGTGTGAGTGTATGTTTGTGTGTGGTGTGTGTGTGTGTATGTTTGTGTGTGTTGTTGTGTGTGTGTATGTGTGGTGTGTGTGTATATGTGTTGTTGTGTGTGTGTGTCTGTGTGTGTGTGTGTAATGTGTTGTGTGTGTGTGTGTCTGTGTGTGTGAGTGTAATATGTGTTGTGTGTGTATATGTTTTGGGTGTGTGTGTGTGGTGATGTGTGTTGTGTGTGTGTGGTGTGTGTATATGTGTTGTGTGTTGGTGTGGGTGTGTGTGTGTATTGTATGTGTGGTGTTGTAATATGGGTGTGTGTGTGTGGGTGTATTGTGTAGTGTGGAGTTGTTGTGGTGTATTGTGTGTGTGTGTGATGGTGATGTGGTGTAGTTGGCGGGGCAGTCCAGCAGCAGCAGCTCTCTGCAGGTGAAGACAGAAGAACTCTCTCGTCAGTTTAACGAGGAGCTGATGTCTCTGAGGGAAGAGAAGGAGCGAGAGATCGAGAAACTCAAGGTGAAAATCCGCTCAGACCAGACCAGACCAGACCAGACCAGACCAGACCAGACCTGTTCTCAGACCTCTCCAGCAGGGGGCTCCACAGAGGTCCTGCAGATGTAACGTGTGAATGTTTTGGTCCAGACCCAGATGTCGCGGATGCAAACCCGCGTTTCCACGACGACCACCTCCTCCTCACAGAGCTCCTCCTCCGAGCGCAGTCTGGCAGCTGAGTTATTCTCAGAGCTGCTCGGCCACCTCGAGAAGAACGAGACCACCTTCACCCGCGCAGGAGGAGGTGAGACTCCGGACCGAGGACTCCGGGACCGAGAACCAGGGGCCCGCGACCAGGCCCGAGACCAGGACTGGAGGGCTTTAGGTCCCAGGACCAGGCCAGGACTGAGGCTGTAGACCCTGAGACCGAGGCCAGGACTGACGCGGTAAGACACCAGGACTCACTCGCCCTCTCTTTGGTCTCTCTCTCTCTCCCCCCCATCTATGGGCTCATCTCGCTCGTCCCCCTCTCGGCTGGTCTCTCTCTCCCTCCTCGCTGACGCTCCTCTCTCCCCCGCGCTGTCTAGCTCTCTCTGGTCCTGGCTCTCGCGCGCCTCGTCGGTCTCTCTAACTCTCTCCTCCCCCTCTCTGGTCTCTCTCGTCTCTCGCGCTGCTCTCCCCCTCTTTTGGGTCTCTCTCGTCTCTCCCCCTCTCTGGGACCTCTCTCTCTCGTCCCCCGCTCTGGTTCTCTCTCTCTCTCTCCTGCCTCGTCTGGTCCTCTCTCTCTCTCTCACTCTCTCTCACCCCCCCTCCTTAGGTCTGCTCTCTCTCCCTCTCCTCCTCGCTGGTACTCCTCCTCTCTCCCCCTCTCTGTCTCTCTCTCTCTCCTCCTCTCTGGTCTCGTCTCTCTCTC